CAGTGAATCCTCTGCAGTGAATGGGTTAAGAGTTCAAACAGCTGATAAAAACATCATAATAATCCACATGTAATCAATTAATGTTTTGTGAAGCGAAAAGCTGTGTGTTTGTAATAAGCAAGTTCATCATTAAGACCCAATGCAGAGGGTCTATTGTTGAGCAAATGATTTAAAAAAAAACTTGGATTGCCTGAAGGTGAGAACATTTTCAGCAAATTTTCATTTTTGGGTGAACTCTGCAGTTCAGGCTAATTTTAAACAAAAGATTTTTCACTTAAATATATTTGTCTTCTCAAATAGGACAATGTCATTATCATTGGTAGGTATTGTTTTTGTTGTTGTTGTCGTTTTTTTACATTTATAATGGTATAATTTTATGGTATTCTTTAAAGTACCGTGTAAGTATTGTATATGAATATACAGTAATAGCTTCATTCACCAAGTCTGCTATTTTGTGTTGTGCTAATACTTTGTAAGTATTCAGGCCTTGATGTGCTTTTCAGGTCTGCTCATGAAGTTTGGGGCCAAAGCCAAAGAGAGTTAGCAGCTCAATCTAAGGCAGCTCATAGTTCCCGTTGCATTCTTAATTAGTTGTGCTTTTTTCATGCATTTCAACCTAGGACACGTGTGAAAACGTGTTCTGTTAGCAAACTGAAGCGGGTTCAAGGATGATGTTGGAACATAGCCAGTGATTCAGGACAGAGAGTGTCCTCCGAATGTGCAATTACATTTACAGTCTTAGAAGATCCTTTCTTATCAAAGTAACTTACGAAGTAGTGCACATTTAGGACATGCCGTTAAGAATACAAGTAGTGCTAAAGCTGGGTCATACGAGTAACATGAATAATATAAGAATCCTTCAGCATTTGTGAATACATTGTTGATATTGTTGTGCTTGATTAGATATATTTGAATCTCTTAAAATAATGACCATAGAAAAACTCAACACAAAACCCACTGCTGTTAATATTACTCTACAGGAGAACAACACATGCTCACTGTATTATACAGTCAAACCATTGTGTAATATTCTGAATACCTGACTTATTAATCATTCAGATTTTCCAGGATAGAGAACATGGCATTCATGATCCATGTTTTGACTACATTGCTTTATACTGAGAATGGTCCAGCAGAGGGCAGTATACATCAGTTGAAGACAGTGTTTCTGAACGTTGTACAGAGTTTTGTTTTAAAGAGTGTTTCGTTAGCTTGGTACTTCTTTGAAGTCTCCTTTCATCAGGAGACAATCCAGATTGGAATTTTTTTTATTTTTTTTTGGTTTAACTTTCTTAAAATTGTCAGTTTGCTCCCTAAATCAAACACACAAAATATGGCTATCTGGGATTACCAAAAAAAAAAAAAAAACTAAACTAAATAGTATGTTTAGAAAATATAAACTCTTTGATATTTAAATATACTTATGCTGACAGCAAATAAACCTTATTAAATGAAAAAAAAAATACTGTAAGTGCCGCATTGTGCAATATTATTCCTAAACAGTTTCTGATTTTTAAAGAAATACTGTAAATTGTACTTCAGCAGGTTTGGATTTTTAAAATCACCATTGTTAATATTATTTATGAATGATATTCTCCATAGGAGGTGCACAGAAATGAAACAGAATCAGAGCTTGTCTAATAAATCTTTTTTTTTTTTTTGTATTCAAAACGAATGCACACTATTGTTTATCCAGTGATTACTCTGAGACAATGTGTATTTGTACATGACAAGCAAAAAACACATTACCAAAACACCAATCCTTGAAAAGAAAACTAGTTTTGAACCGGATTTGTGTGAGAGTAGAAAGTTCAGTTGAAGACAGTGTTTCTGAACGTTGTACGGAGTTTTGTTGTAAAGAGTGTTTCGTTAGCTTGGTACTTCTTTGAAGTCTCCTTTCAACAGGAGACAATCCAGATTGGAAATTTTTTTTATTTATTTTTGGTTTAACTTTCTTAAAATTGTCAGTTTGCTCTCTAAATCAAACACACAAAATATGGCTATCTGGGATTACCAAAAAAACTAAAAAAACTAAACTAAACTAAATAGTATGTTTAGAAAATATAAACTCTTTGATATTTAAATATACTTATGCTGACAGCAAATAAACCTTATTAAATGAAAAAAAAATACTGTAAGTGCCGCATTGTGCAATATTATTCCTAAACAGTTTCTGATTTTTAAAGAAATACTGTAAATTGTACTTCAGCAGGTTTGGATTTTTAAAATCACCATTGTTAATATTATTTATGAATGATATTCTCCATAGGAGGTGCACAGAAATGAAACAGAATCAGAGCTTGTCTAATAAATCTTTTTTTTTTTTTTTTGTATTCAAAACGAATGCACACTATTGTTTATCCAGTGATTACTCTGAGACAATGTGTATTTGTACATGACAAGCAAAAAACACATTACCAAAACACCAATCCTTGAAAAGAAAACTAGTTTTGAACCGGATTTGTGTGAGAGTAGAAAGTTCTTTCTTTCTTCTTAACTGTCTTTACGAGAACACAGTATCAAAAACCACATCGTCCCCCTCCTACACAATCCACGGATACCGTGTTCTCTATCTTCCTCCCACAAAGGTCATCAGAGACGAAGAGAAACACAGGTATTCTGAATAGCAAACAATGAGTTTGGCAGGATCATTTCAACAGTGTGAGAATGTGTTCAGGCAATTGCCCTACGTGATCATTTACAACGTTTGTGTCTCTGTTCATCTGTGAAATTGGAACATTGAAATGAATCAGTGAGATGATTCATGATAGATGAATATTATGCAGCATTATTCATTCTAACTGGCACTTACGCAATTATAAATCAACTATATTTGGGTCCTTTCATTGTTCTTTTTTCTGTTATTCTCATGCAAACTTTCAGAATTGTGCAGTTTGTAAAGATGTGTGAGTATATGTTTGTTTGTGTAGCATGATAGTTTTGCGATTTTGATTTAGTTTAGCTTGAAGTTCATAATTGCATCATAAAAAGCCAAAGTGAGCATCGCAACTTTGGCAAATGCCATAAATGCCACTGTCATGAGACCAGATGAAGGCTCTGCAACTGATTCTGCAACTCAACCTGCTAATCACTACTATCAAACTCTATAAGCCTTTTGAGTATTCAGTGAAAGTTCAGCGTTTAATGACATCTAAGTAAATAAAGACCACAGGAAATGTGAAATGTGAACATGACATTTTTACGCCCACATGCGTCAAAGAAAACATTCTTGTTTGGCGGTGTGAATTCCGTCACTGATATAAAGGTTCTTGGTCCACACTTTTATGTTTAGATTTTTTTTCCCTCAGTTATTGTCTTATATTGTTTTTCTGTTGTAGCCGTAACACAGCATCCTGTTGTGCTGACTACAGTGCAAAATAGAATAAAGTTAAAGTTATCTGAGGAAAACAAATAATAGAGGTGTATGATTTAACATCATATATCTCCAGTATATGTAAAAAGATAACTTAAAGTTAGAGTTAGTTTTAAATTTGAAGTGTATTTTTTCTCTCTCCTCTGAGACAGTGCTCCACACTTCAATGACTCAAACAAAGTTGTCATCACAATGTTAAGTAATCTGGTTAAGAATTTTTGCTGATGACTTGTCTATTATAACACTCTTTTCTTCCTGTGTTATACACCATGCTTGACATTTGCACTGTGTATCATTTTCTGTGTAAGTCTGTGCACATTAATTCTTGTTTGAGTGAACGTGAAGACTGGTTAAAGGTAGGTTATTTTTGTGTATAGACGTCAAGGCATAGTTTATTTGGATAAATTATGCCATCATCACTAATTTAAGGATTTAGGAAAATAATAGGCTAATCTATCTCTATAGGGATGTCAGTGGAAAGCCATGTAAAATACAGTGTACAGAGTATTGAAAAGAAATTCTTTAACAAAACCCAAAACTTAAAGAATATATACAGTTGGTTATAAATTTAACAACAAATTTAAATGTGGAAATAAACAGGATTTGAATGATTTTGAGAAATTTAAAACATAGAAACTTTATCGTGTAAAAATTGAACAAATGTTTAATTTATGCAATAATTAGATAAACAATCAAAACAAATTTGTGACACTGCTTTGTTAGCACTTGAGTAAACTGATGTTCTGGCTTTCATTAAAGCACAAGATGCTGTTTAGTACATTCTCACATGATCAGCAGGTTTTTATGAAACTGTGCGGTTGATGTAGCCAATTTAAATGTGGAAATAAACAGGATTTGAATGATTTTGAGAAATTTAAAACATAGAAACTTTATCGTGTAAAAATTGAACAAATGTTTAATTTATGCAATAATTAAATAAACAATCAAAACAAATTTGTGACACTGCTTTGTTAGCACTTGAGTAAACTGATGTTCTGGCTTTCATTAAAGCACAAGATGCTGTTTAGTACATTCTCACATGATCAGCAGGTTTTTATGAAACTGTGCGGTTGATGTAGCTTCAGTTCATTAAAGCAAAAGGGAACATACAAAAAAAATGGAATCATTTTGTAATGGCAATTCTGTAATTTGTAAAGAAAAAAAAGAAAAATATATATATATATAATTAGAAAATGCAAAACTGAATAATGTTTGCTACTATATATAAACTAGACTATGGAGCAAAAGTATGGTTTATAATAATACAAAATGTAGAGAATACATACAATGGAGTCCAAAGGTCTGAGACAACACTGAAAATCTGGGATTCAAAATTTAATTTAAACCTGGAAATAAACAATGATATACGATTGATATATTTGCTTATAAATAGCCTATGTAAACAAGGAAATTTCGTGACGTAAAATAAAATAGTTAATTGTTCAATTATATTTAGTTATATTAAATTATATAAATCTTACCATTTATAGTAATGTAATATAGTTTATTGCATTTCAAATAAAATTCACTGAAACACGTGGTCTTTAAAAGAGAACGGCTGATTCAACTGCAGTTAACTACAGTTCAGAGAAACTACAAGACCCACAAGCCTACTGCGGGCTGGGCTGTGTTTATGTGTGAGCGCGCGTGAGTGATTGAGTGCGCGTGTGCGCGCGCGCTTGTGTTGTCTGCCGACTCGCCTGACGTCACCGCTGGAACTGCCCTGTCACGCGCTGTTAGTAAAAGTTGGGACAGGAGCGCGAGACGGAGAGCAGCAGCGAATTTACGGACGAGCTCGATCAACGGTCGCGCTGACGCACAGCGCTCCCCCCCACACCCCCTTCACGCCACGGGCAAAAAGTTCAAGCCGCTGCGAGTTCGCTGAACCTCCGCAGAAGGTCGAAGAGTTTGGATTATTGTGAGAGAGAGAAGCAATTATATTTCTGTCCGGGCTTAGAGAAGTACAGCACGGAGAAAAAGTTTAAAAGTTTTGCCTTTATCATTAGTCAATGTAGTGAGTTTATTAAAGAGTCGGCGTTCTTACACGGGTGAGCCCGAGCTGTCAAACCCGATGACTACTGCAAACTGCCCCGGGAATGAAGAGCTGGACTTCAGATTGATCTTCGGGGAGGACGGGCAGCAGCCGCCGCTAGGCCCCGCAGGTCAGTGCCTTTACTCCGGGATCGTCTCACACACTCCTTCGGTATAGATTAACTCATGAATCATGCATCGAAAAAGTAAGGAGGTCGATAGGAAATGCAAAACCCGGTATCAAAAGCAGCAGCGCCGTGCCGTGCATTAAACCGACAGTACGTTACTCACCGGCTTTTCGCTTCACGCCAGCAGCTGCAGTTTTGTTTAGTTTCTTGTGTGGTTGTAAATTCAGCCAATGAAAATGAGAAGCGGTAAGTTTAGGCGGCTGGGTGAACTAATATATAACCAACAAACACCTGGACACTTTGCTGAAGACTTTAAGTCGGTCACATCGGCTCAAAACCTATTTAGCTGCCTGCCCAGACAGCGTTTTTGGAGATCATAGACGCGTTTAAGTGGTTTGAGACAAAGCCACCATGAATCTGACAGCTGCTGCACAGTGAAATGCTATAAAAGTTTCTGTTATCACTCGCCGCTGCTTTCAGCTAGAGCACATGGAAAAAGTTTCAACCCTTAGGTTTCCACTAATACTGAACTTTGTTTCATTTCTCCATTTTACTCTTATTTACATCAATACATCAACAGTAGCCAGTTCTGTCACCGACTTTTGCAGGTGATACAAATTTATAAAAAATATATAAATGAGTCCTTATCACAGTTTAGAGGGAGGTGTATCTGTTTTTCTCTTTCTAAATGGTGCATGCACATTTTGGAGCACATATTATCTTTAAGTTTAGATAAGATCCAAAATATAGAATATAAACATGCTTGGTGTGTAGTTCTTCAAACCTTTCCCTAAACTTGTAAAAATGCAATATATTAAGTATTCCTGCTTATGTTATTAACATGATTTACATAGCTTTTAACTAGCTATTAAAATAATTTAGCATTATCACATGCCAGTCACATTACAAGATTAGACCTAAGTGCTGCTGTCGAGCACAATTATGATATCGTTACTTAAAATGCTCTTACATTATCAGACAGAGTTGTTAAATATCTCAGCAAGGGTTTCCACTTAATGTGTTAATTTAAATGGTAATAGTATTTATTATGATGATTGATTCATAATCACTTTTTTGTTGAAGCCCTCAGTTTTTTTGTTAAACATGTGTAATGTCAGATGTATAAGCAACAATGCAGACGGTCAGTTTGCAACCACCAGACATGGCCTATGTGTGTGTGTTTGTGTAATTGCCTAATGAAAAAACGTGTGTGAGAAGTAGCAACCCTATCAGCCCCTGTCAGTGTGCTCGAGTGTGTCGTGAAGGAAAGAGATTTGGGTATAGTGAAAGCAGAATGCCTGTGTGTGGGTGGACCCCGGTGTGTTTTTGTTTAAGTTTTGCATGTTTTTTTTGTTTTTTTAAGTATTGCATGATCAGTAAATTGCATATGGAGATTGCATATTGCCTAGGCAAACGAGGACTAAGCATTTTGTGTCATATTTTAAAAGAATGACCACCATGTTTTGTATATTATGTAAAATACTGCACTATTGTGTTTTAAGCAGTAACCTAGTGTAATTAAGGGGGCTTTGCTACTCCATAAATTACAGGAATCAGTGGTTGTTCAAAGATATTTTACCTCAGACATGACCGCTTGATGGTCTGTGTGGACATTCGCAGAAGAAAAGGGAAAACCTTTAATTTGAGACAGAAGTTTGGAGGATGCATTTGGACTAAATGTTGGAAATAAATGCACCCATGTGTGCAAGTGATTTTCAGTCTATTGCACTGTATAATTTGGACCATATGTCGGGTTTGTACACACATATGCAGGTGTTATGAGAAAATCATGAATTAGAATTGGTAGTGTATGGATGTTTTTTTTTTAAATTTCCTCTACCATATGTAGTCCAACTTTATCCTTTAGAAGTGTAGAGTATTGCGAATTTCAAACTGATGTTTTTTGATGAAGGAGCAGAGAATATAATTTTTTAGTAACTTAAATTTGTATCCTGCCCCATTGTTTTGCATAATTATCAATCATACTAGGGAGAATATAATAGTTAGATTTGATAGAAAATGCAAATTCTTTGTCAATATGTTAAGAGCGTTTCATATCCTAATTAAACATATTTATTTTAAAGGTAAATAGAAATATATTCGTTTTAAGTTGTTGAACAGGTTTTGTGATGTAGGTGTCTGTTCATGTATGTCAAGAAGACATCAGGATTTTAATGCAGCTAAAGGGCAGGGCTGTTGTTACTATACACACTCATCAGTGTTTTCTGTGCCTCTGGCTGTTGTTAGAAAAAGATTACCGATCAGTTTTTGTCTTGCATTTGTTAATAAAGCTGAAGCGGTTCGATTTAGATCAGGATTTTCTGTCAAAATATCATCAGGCTATTTAATTTTGATGACTTTGATGGCTAGTCTGGTTTGTTTTTATTATGAACAAATTTTCATTACCAAAAACGTGACTGAAACTTTATGAAACTATGTGAGAGCTTTCTCAGAACCCAGGCATGACATTACGGCCACTGAAATGTTGATCAGTGTAGGGCAGGCATTCGCAACTTTACACATTCAGATGGGGCAAGCTATAATTCAGATGTGCTGATTTGTTTTAAAAATATAAATATTAAAGGTTTATGAATTGTAACATGCCCATTTTCAAGAGTAATTACAGTAATTCTCCCAAAATTCAGTTAGAGTCAGGGGAAAAAAAACTACAAACGGATGTAAAAATGAATAAAACAACAAAGATGAGAATACAATCGAGTATACTTGATTTTAACGGGAGTGCTGATAATCAGGAGGTGCGTGTAGCGTTAGAGACAGTTTTGGTTCTCACTCACTCTGTCAGTCACTCATCACAGCGCTAGTCAGAAACCTGATTTGTCAGCACCGCGCTGTCAGTTCGGTGGCGCTAGTAAACACGTCCTCTCTGCGCTGTCGAGCAGAGAGGACTTTAATACCATGCTGTTTCGTCCCACATTTGGGTTGTTTGGCTTCCCATATATAAGCGTGAAACCTGCGAGAATGACTAAAATAATGCGCAATACAAGCACTATTTAACCGGAGCGAATGAGACATGTGTGAGAGAGAAGGGGTCGTCGGAGAGAAGGGGCGGCTGACGTTATTGCCTGTGCCGCTGGTAACAAAACGGATCGGCTCGGAATCGGAAAGAAGTGAGACTGACCGGCCGGTGTTACGAGATTTTCGGTTTCCGAGATTTTCGGTTTCAGTGGGGTGGCATACATGAATATTCATGAGTTTCCCAGACATGCGCGTGGAACCAAGTGGAACTGAGAATTTCAGTTCACGCTCCTTGTACCTCAGCAGGTTTAATGGAATATATATATATATTTTAAAGGTAAATATATTTACAGTGTTGCACAAACTACATTTGTTTATCATTTCGTAACAGTTTATAATGTTTTTATTAGTTTACAGTGCACGTTTTGTGCAGTCGTCCCTGACTGAATGATTGCAGGCATTCTTTGTGTAATGTTAGGATAAAGCACAGCACACTTCAGCTAGTTGTAGCCTATACATTGATTTCAGTTCTTTGTGCTTTTCATTTGTAGCTTGGGATGCTTTAAAACTTTGTCTGTTATTAGTTGTTATCATTTGTTGAATACATCAGTGCCTGCAACAAATGAAATAAGCCTATATAAACTTATCTGTGGACATATATATATATATATTTTTTTTTTCTTTTGTATACTGGTGTGATGATCCATGTCTTAACTTACCCCGTTCAACATTCTCCATGTTGTCCGGTTGTGAATTGTCTGCTGTCTGGTTGTAAACTATGAAAGAATGAAATTTCTTTCTTTTTTTCATGTTTCCAATGTAAAATAGTTCAACATTTTTACAAACAAATGTAAATTTACCAATTAAGATTATCACATGGTTCCATTTGCACAGGGAATCCAAAAATCCCAGAACACCCGGATGATTACAGCTACAAGTTTCCAATAGTAGCACAGATCCAACTACCATTTCAATTATTTATTTTATGCACTTCTGTTACGTTTTAAGTTTTAAAACTGTCATCTTCTGGCAATGAATGAAATAACGTTCACCACCATATCAGTGGCCTAATAAACATTTTGCAACCTACACTGATGTTATTCTGTCATCTGTTCTTTGATCATGTGTTGCATGTACCTGGATGATACATGATGATCATTGATAAATGCATGGTCTATTTTGATGCACAACAAACACTCATGCAACATTATGTATAGGCTAAGTCATAAAGTTTCATAAACATATATACTCTTAATTAGGCTTTTTTATATACATAAACTGTTCCCTCCTGGTGGAATGACCTGCCCAAATCGATTTGAGCAGCTGAGTCCTTAGCCATCTTCAAGAAACAGCTAAAAACACATCTCTTTCATCTATATTTGACCCTCTAACTCTAGCACACTGTATTCGTTTTCCAACTGTTTCCAAAAAAAAAGGCCTCTAACACTAGCTTTCTCTATTCTTTTTCTATTCTATCTACTTGTTTTCTTTTTGTTGTGTATGTATGTGTAAAGCCAAGCGTCTGCTAAATGACTACATAAATAAATAAATAAAAAGGGCCTCTAAATATAAAAAATAAAGATTGGATTGTGGCCTTGTTGGTGTGAATGTTTGATATTATGTGAGACAGTGACATTTTGTTTTTAAAAACATTAATTCAATAGTGATTCACACTCAAAATCCAGGTAAATGTTAGTCATGGAGGATGCGATTAATAAAGTAAAGTTTTCCTGAATTTTGAGCATGAATCACTATTGAATCCTTGTTACAAACTAAAGAGATGTATGCACCAAAACAAGACAACATAGGATACAAGAGAGTGTGATGTTAACGTCCTTGTAGAATCTGCTGTATAAAAATATGACATAATAAAGCTAAAAAAAAAGACATTTCTTAACTTGATTCTGGCATTTGATACATGACATTACCATTCAAAAGTTTAGGATTACTATGATTTTTTTTATTTTTAAGAAATGTATATTTTTGTTCTTCAAGGATGCATTAATTTAATTTTTAAAAAAGTAAAG